GCCAGGGGCACCAGCCGGGACCGCCCCGAGGGTGGGCCGCCCCTGTGGCACCCTAGCCTGTGGGACGGGGTGGGCAGGTCCTCCCTGCCTCCCCCGGCCCCCGCCACGGAGACGCTTCCGGCACCTTCCGCGGGTGTGGAACCTTCTCACGCCACGTTTTCCCCCAGCAAATACCCCCACAGCTGGGTTGAGAGCTAAAGCAGCAATAAACGCAGTGTGTGTTGCGCAGTCCACGCACAGGGCCTGGGCTCCTCCTTGTTGCCCAAGCGACGCCCGCGCCATGCAAACACCCCCCATGCCCCAGCGCTTCAAGGGGGAGAGTCAGACCCGCAATGGGAAGGCCCCTCAGGCCGGCAGGAGTGGCCTTCCTTCCGTGTGGCGCCCTCCGGGGCCCAGGGAGCCGGATGCGCGGACAGAGGCCACGTGGACCGCCCACTCCGCAGCCCCCGGGGACCCTCTGCAGCAGGCCCAGTACGCCCTGGGGGCCCAAGCTCCTGCCTTCACTGTCACCCAGAGGCCCGGGCAGGCTTCCGCAGTCGTCGGGTTCGAGCCGGGACACGTCAAGGCCCTGGTTTCTGTGTAGCTTGTGTCCGGCCTCCAACAGAAAGAGCTGACTTCCTGCCTGGCACTGCTCTGGCGTTGTCTGTCTGTCTGGAGAGCAGGGTCTGGGTCTCCCTGGTGTGGGCGGGTAAGCTGTCAGTCGGGCCCCCGGAGGGAATCGGGACCTCTGACCAGGAGAGGCAGGAGAGTCCAGCCTGTCCCCCCTCTGGCTTCAGGCCCCACCAGGGAGTATGCCCTGGCCAGGAACTGTCGGCTGCCAACGAGGTGTGGCATTTGTCCGACAGAGACTGAAAAAGGAAACCAAATGTGTCCCTCGCCCAGCCGGGCAGCAGCACCTGACACCTCCCTTGGGACCCTCCGGCCCACCCGGGAGTTGGCCGGCCTGGCACGTCCTCATGGTCCCCCAGAGCCTCACACTGGAGGAGGAGGGAGGGGAAGAGGTCCCCGCTGGGTCACCCTGAGCTGCCCGTGGTAGCTGGGCATCTTCTGAGTCACGGGACAGACGTCTTTCACCAGGACGCTTCCGAGCCAAGGCAGGCAGATTGACGGAAGCGGAGGCGCCATGAAGGGCGGAGTGGAGGCTTGGCCTTGGGCGATTTGCCGTGTGGGTGTCCTGGGCGTTCAGCCTCGATTCCTGCTTGGCTTTTAAAGACTGTGTGTACTGAAAGGCCCTGGTTTCATCAAGCGAAAACGGACGCCCCGTCCCGCAGTGTGGCCTCGCAGACCGAGCTTGCCGGCGGGATCACAGGGCCAGGCTGGCGTTCCCTCCCGCCCACCCTCCGCCACCCGCCCTCCCTGGGCGGGCCTCCTCCGTCTGGCGACAGCCCCGCAGGCTCCCAGAAGGCGCGATGAGTCACAGTCTCCGAACAGGCCAGAAGGCCTCGGAATTCCCGAGGAAGCCTTGGCTCCGGCGCCTGGGCAGTCCCCTGCCTGGGAGCAGGGCCTCTTCTGACCGTTTTCCTGCCGGGCGGACCCGGGAGGAGTGAGCTGGCCCGGAAGGCCTCCAGATGTGCTGTCCTCGCCCCCCCGCCCCCGGCCCCCCAGGCCCGGGGCAGGGATCATCCACGAATGCCGTGTGCTCAAGGCCAAAATGACTCACATCGGCCGGCGGGAGGGACAGGGAGGCTGGGCCCCGAGGTGGACTCGGTGGAGGGCTTCGCCCCGGAAGCCCCCAGTGAGCATCGCCCCTTGTGAGCCGAGCCCAGGGACCTGCCCAGCTGGTGGTTCCTTTTAAGAAGAGAAGGCCGGGTGCAGCGGCCCACCCCTGCAATCCCATCACTTTAGGAGGCCGAGCACGAATGGATGGCTTGAGCCCAGAAGGTCGAGGCTGCGGCGAGCCATGATTGTGCCACCGCAGTCCAGCCTGGACGATGGTGAGACGAAACTCAAAAACAAAAGACAAGACACGGGGAGAGAATGGCCATGGGTGATGGAGACTCCAGGGACGCGTCTGGAAGGCAAAGACGGCCGAGGACAGCCTGCCGGCAGAGCCCGGAGTCAGAGGGCAAGGAAGACCCGCCCCTCAGTGTCGGGAGCGGCAGGGCCCTTCCTGGTTTTGCCCCTGCAGCCTGCACACCGACGGCACGCCCTGTGCTTCCGAGCCACGCTGCGTGGCCCTTCCTCATGGCGCT